ACAATTCGTGTCCAGCAGCAGGATATGAAATAATCCAGTAAAGCCAAAGTTTAAGGGTGAATTTCCTGGAGTCATGGGCACCTTTTAGTCAGAGGTCTCTGGTGAAGAAGTGGGTGACTTGCTAGAGTTTTTGTGGAAAAGCTTAGTGAATGCAGATCTGGGGGAACTAAAGATAGTGAGCCAACTCTTAATGGAAAATTCTTTTTTGTTACTTCAGAATTTCAGAGACCCAGTGGCTAGCTTGAAATCCAAGACTCTGAGAGAACTAAAAAGCCAGTAATGGAGGAAATTGATCCTCAAGATGTTGGACGGAATGGGAATGGAAATAGAGACCCTCAAATACCCAAGAAACCCTCAAGGGAAATTATTCAAAGCTCCCTAGATCTGGAGAAATGGAAACTGGAAAAGAAGCATAGACTCAGATAAAAAGCCATGGGATTAAAAATTAGGGGAAAAACCAGAGCTGAAGAGAAAGCTAAGGAGCTACAGCTCAAGGAAATAAATTTTGAAATTGAGAAAGAAAGGGCCAGAGAAAAGGAGAGGGTTGAGGTCAGACAAATGGCATTTGAGCAAGAAAACAGACAAAGGGAAATGGAATTTCAAATACAGATGAAAAAAAATAGAATTAGCTTCTCAAAATAACAATAACAACAACTCTAGTGAGGGAAATCTTTCAAAAATCGAACTAAAGAAATTTCCCCAATATAGGAAAGGAGGTTGCCCTGAATCTTTCCTTATTCCATTTGAGAGAGTGTGCTGGGACTTTGAGATTAAAGACGATGAAAGGATGATAGTTTTGAGATCACAAATAAGTGGATATTTAGCTGAGCTTTGTTCTCAGATGCCTCTGGAGCATCCTAGAAGTTTTGAGGCATACAGAAAGTTGGCATATTCTAGATTTGGCATAAATGCAGAACACCTTAGAAGAAAATTTTCCCTTACCAAAAAGCCTGAAGAATCTTATGCCCAATTAGGGGCTAAATTTATTCAATGTTTGGACAAATGGATGGAACGTGAAAATGTCACTTCTCTAGACCAAATGAAAAACGTAGTTGGTTTAGAACAATTTTATTCAGTGTTGCCAGGAGAATTGCATTATTTGGTCAAGGACAAACATCCTAAAAATATATTACAGGCATCTGAATATGCTGATTCCATTAGTGAGATTAGAGAGCCTCAATTTTCTGAGGTAAAAATTGGTAGAAAAGTGTGGGACGACAGGAGGAGAGGACCCCCACCCAGTAGAGATTACCTCAGAAGTACCCAAGCTACTGGAAGCCATTTTAGAGACAAGCCCTCATCCACAGAGCAGAGTCACCTGGAACATAATAGCTCTGAGGGAAAGGTTAACAAGATTCTTTATTTTGAACCCAAGAGAAGTAAACAATGTTATGCATGTGGAGAAAAAGGTCATTTTTGGGATCAGTGTGAGACTCAAAAGAATAGGGATGTTAGCCAGCATAAAGGTGGAAATTCCAATCAGTCTAAGAAGGTGTTTTGTGTACAGCATAATGGAACAGCTGATACTGCAGTTGAAGCTAGCTATGGAGCTGTTGCCATAGCAACACAAGTAACAGAAGAGTCAGATAGCCAAGATCTCCCTGTGACCAGGGTTGTTCAGTGTTGTCTGATAGAATGTAATCAAAATCTTCTACGTAGCTCTGGTGATGTTATTTATGTTAATAATGATAAGTATCTAGCACTTAAAGATTCTTGTTCACAAGTTACAGTACGTCACCCTGATATAGTCCCTAAGGAAAATGTGTTAGACCATGAAAATATTTCTATTAAAGGGATTGGTTCTGAAATAGTGGTGTTGCCTATGGCAAAAATACCAATGAGATATAAGGGATGGTCAGGAATTTGGAAGGTGGTCTTATCCGATCAAATTTCTGCCCTGTGTTTAATAGGTCTTGATTTAGCTGAGCATGTGCAGAGTGTTTTTGTGACAACTCGCTCTCAGGGAAGGCAAACTGAAGTCACTGAGGGAAATGATGGAAATCTTCCTGAAATAAGAAAAGAAAGAGAAACAGCTGATCTGGTTATTCTGAGAAACCCTAAGAATCTATCTTTCATCAAAGAACAAAAGGAAGACCCTACCTTAATTGAATGCTTTGCACATGTTAAGGAAATTCCACTGACTCCTGAAAATCTGGAACGATACCCCAGTCTAGAGGAAAACCCTCAGATAGCAGAAATGGCTGAGGTCATATTGAAAAACCCTAATAATACTTCATGTATTGAGGAGCAGAAGGAAGATATTACTTTAAATGATTGTATTAGAACACCTGATGAGAATCCCATTCCACTGACCCCTGAACAACCGGAGAGGTTTATAACTGATTAAAACCTGACATACAGAGAGGTTTTATTAACACCTCATAGGAGTGAAGATGTACATCTCAAGCAGCTAATTGTCCCTATAAAATATAGGGAGAAGTCCTTAGAAATGACAGAGCCAAGCCTGGAGGGGTAGTCATGGAAAGGAGAAAGGCTTGTATGAGGGCCAGGAAAGAGCATTCTGTCCTGAGGACAAAGTGGTGATGCTGAGACTCTTAGAGGGGAGTAAATTACAGTTAGCATGGTCAGGACCTGTAGACGAGTTGCAACAGCACTGGAAAGCTGAAGAGACTAGTACTGGGAAGGCTTCTCATGCAGCTGCAAAGGCACTGAAAATATTGCAAGGCCTTGATCGGCTAGATAGGCGGGATATAAGTAAGTAAGTAAGTAAGTAAGTAAGTAAGTAAGTAAGTAAGTAAGTAAGTAAGTAAGTAAGTAAGTAAGTAAGTAAGTAAGTAAGTAAGTAAGTAAGTAAGTAAGTAAGTAAGTAAGTAAGTAAGTAAGTAAATAAATAAATAAATAAATAAATAAATAAATAACCAAATATTAAAGATATAGAACCAGATGAGGAAAATCTCAATGCATCTAAAATAAACCGAGTGTTTGAGAGTACACCTAAAAGAAACATCCCTGTGAATTTGGAGGTGACCCATGATAGTGGTCCCTCACATCTGGAAAGCTTTGCAACAAAAGTACCTGTGGGTGAACTTGTTGGTGAGGAGGAAGGCATAAGCAATAAGCTCTCAAGGAACAACACAGTCATAGCTGTGCTGGCAAAGGGGAAGAAAGTGCCTAACCTTCCCATAGCTGAAAAAATTAAGCCTGATGATTACCAGTCGACAGAAGAGAGCGCAGACTTCAAGATCTGCCTTTGTTGTGCTGGATTACAACCGGGGGTTCACAATCTGTGTGGATGCATTGGGAGTCGTGCTGTGCCAAGCGGATGACAGAGGGAGTCTACACACAGCAACTCTGATCAACAGAAGATTCCAACCTGGTGAGAGACATTTGTCTGCCAACATAAGGGAGTGCCTATCAATTGTTGGGATGCTGCAAAGTCTGAAACCCTACATTAGGGGAAGGAGGTTCATGCTTTGCACCGACCCTTTCCCTCTGGTGTGGCTACAAGCTATGAAATACACTAACAGTAAACTTGCAAGATGGACTCAGAACCTGCAAGACTTTGACATCCACAGCATATAAGGGACTCAAAATATGGTTGTTGATGCCTAGTCTCGAAGACTAAATGACTAATGGATGGATAAAAGAGTGCAATGTTGTATTAAATGTTGTTTGTGCACTAGTTATGAAAAGCAATTAAAATGCACGATCTTGGTGAATGCCGATGAACTGAGAGGTATATAGTGATGGGAAATAATAATAGTAAGTAGAGATAATGTAATCTGTCTTAATATGAGTAATGCAAATGTTTATAATTGTATGGATCATTAAAGGAAATAGTTTGATATAGGAAACATGGTAATAGAGAGAAAACTAGCATAAGGTATGTATAAGTATATGGTAAATATAATGCATTATATGTTAAAGTATGGTATATGATTTAGGACATAACTGGTAAGCAAATTTTTATGGTGGCGTTTTGTATGTAATGTTCCCTGTATGTGTTCCGTTGTTCATAAGGGTAAACTGTAAGGTTTTCCCTCATGAAACAAACTTTTTCTTAGAGGGGGAGGAATGTGACGCCACAGCAATTATTCTTCCACTACTTTCAGGACTTTCATCTCTGTTTGTTTGGTCAGCAGACGCCAACTAAAAGTCCATCAGGGAGATATTTTCTTTAAATCTCATTGGGAGTCTTCAGGAAATAGCAGGGTATTTTGGCATGATGAGAAACCTTGCTCCATTTCAGGACCCTGGCAATCTCCCCTTCTTCCTTCCAGTGTTTCAGAGACACACATACACACATCACTCCTTGCTCCCTCAGTGAAGTGAAGCGAACCATCTGTGAATTTTAGGCATCAGCCTATTTTGATATAAGTATGCTTCAAAGCCAAAGATGGGAATTCCATTAGCAGACTGAGACTCCTGTAGCTCAGAAGTGCAACCAGCACAGGGCAGATTTTAGTGCCTCATTAACACGCTGATGAGGCCTGGCAGCCAACTGATTTGATTTAAAGTTCATTTCCATGCTGTGATTTCAGGCAATGTTTGCTTAATGTTCTCTAGCAAACTCTTCTGACAGAGCATAAGAGCTGCTTAACAGTGGGCATTATTTATTGTAACACACTTATGGCACTGAGAAGACACAGGAGCTGGATTGGGGGAAGGAGCCTCTTGCAGGTGACATATAAAAATTCTCAAAAAGACCAGTATAAAGTCACTTTACCAAATCAGCAGGTAGCTAGCTGTTTCCTTTTATTCTCTTTTCCTTCCTCTCTGCATTTTTGAGTAAGGGCTAAAGAATTCATTTCTCTTCACAACAGCCCAATATTACTTATTTTCAGGGCCAAGCACGTAAGGCTTTCTCTCACTAGATTTTCTTGAGATGGGAAACAAAGGTACTTCTAGGCGTTATTCCTACAGAACAATGTCAACATGTGAACACCTGGCACAAGCCGGAGAAGATTGCAGCAGGGGTACTCCTTCCCGAAATACATTCCACACCTAACTTGATCCACAAAAAAGACAGGACTCCAGAGAAGGGTTTGTCATATTTTAATGACATAGATCTTTGGTGTTTTCCTCATTAGCACACACTCTCCCCCTACCTTCCTGCTACAAGCTCACTGGGATGGAGAGTTACAAATGAAAAGGAAAATCACATTTCAGACTAGAAAGAAAAATATCAGAGCCTTGATTTCTCCACTAGAAACTACATGTACAAGGTCAAGGTTTCACATGCAACACCTTACATCACAGACACATACCTCACGCTCTGATGCGGAGCTAGCCCCTCTCTCCCCACCCACCCCACCCCACCCCAAACAGGGAAGTGCAGCCTGGTCATGGCACCATGATTCTGCCAGATCTCGCCAAGTTGAATTATAAATGTTACTGTTGGCACAGCTAGAGGTGCTAAACCCTAGGCAAGCTCTGTGTAAGTGCCAGCTTTCTTGGGGAGCGGTTCCCAACCCACCCACATGCTTTACAACTATATGTTGTCCCACCCAAGGGTCCTGCTTGTGGACAAAGCAGATAATTCTGAAAACAAAAGGCCTACACTCCTGAGAGGTTCCTGAGCATGAAGGGATGGTGAAGCCCAAGCACAGCTCTCCTGCCTCCAGTTCATATTTGGAAAGAAGAGTGGAACAGAGTCCTGGAGAAGGCTATTTTGCTTTGTCCAGTCTGCACAATTTCAAGCCCCTCAAACACTGAAGACTTGCCTAGTGCTTACCAGCAAGGTGACATGCAGCAGAACTCTGGCCTGGAAGATGAAAACCACTCTGGTAGCAGAGCTGTGGTGAAAATCCCCTCCACAGTAGCACTTAAAAAAACATACGCACTCAATAAGGTTGCAGGTCTCCAAAGTAAGAGACTACAGTCCCCTTGATTTGATTAGCTGGTATGTCAAAAGAGGAGAAAGCATTAAAAAAAAAAAACAAAGAGTAACATTAAAAGCACTGCAGGGTTAGGGCAAAACTTAATGGATTCCTGTAGCCAGTGAGCTGAGAAATTTACATAAGGCTCAGCTGAATATCAATGTTTATTACAGCTATTGTAGAAAATGTGCAGCAAAACGGATGCGGGAAGCTAAGACACAGAATAAAACCTCTTCAAGGATCCTCCTATACAACTGATGGTCTCTCACCCTTATATACCAATGCCCGCTGAACTACCAGCATCTGGTCGGAACCAAAATCCTCCTACCCCTTCAAGTTCCTGGTCAGCTTTGAGGTACAAGTCTTTGCTTAGCAGTACAAGGGTTGCACCAACACACAAATTCATCTCTACCTGTTCCGAGACTCTCCACTGGCGCTACCGTTATTATAAAAGTTGGTATTGTCAGGAAGATGGTTATTATTAGTTAGGTCACTGTACTCAATTGGTCCCTCAGTGTCCATTGAGGACTGAGCCTGCTCAGACAGGCTTTGCTCATTAGCTCCTTCTCCCTCAATTGAATTGGAGGACGTCGTCCGTGGGCTCAGACCACGCTCTGTCACTTGCATGGACTCAGGAAGGGTCTGTGCCTCAAGCTCAGCTACCAGCTCTTGAGAAGTGGATGGCTGAGCTGAGCCACCATCTGTTCCAGAGGACTCAGTACCAGTCTGGGAACTGCGGTGGATCCGGTGACTCACAATGATGTTGTTGCCAAAGCCCCCCATGGATGCCATGGTGGTGCTTTGCTCTCGCTGGACCACAGCAGTCATGCCTCCTTCTGCCATCAACCGTTGGATCCTGATCAGGGCATCTTCCCCAGTTGCACCATATTCTGGACTACCTGGAAGAAAGCAAAAAGGAAGCCAACTTCATTTTTGTTTTGCTTTGTTTACCTAGTCATAAGATTTATATGGGATCTTTTGATTTTAAAAAAAATTGTGTGAGGCAGCTTGGAACACTGTTTAAAAACAGTCACACAAACTAAAATACAAGCAAGATAAAACAGAAGCAAATATTAGAGTCAGAAATGTATAAATAAATCCCACCAAATAAATGCCATCAAAAGGCTGAGCAAACAAAAACAGTTTTCAGTCAGTGCCTGAAAGGCAGAAAATCCATGGCCCCCAAAAGGTCATAAGACATTCAAGGAAAAGACAGGATGATGTATAGTAGATGAGAAAGAAAATAGCTTATGAAAGATGTCACTAATCCAATGGAAAATCCCAGAATGGCCAAACTGTATAGGTCACACCTGCACAAGTAACTTTTATGTGACTGCTATTGGTGCTCGTTCTCATTCTTTTGGGACTGTTTTATCTTGTGAGGCTACCATTTTTTAGTAGTAATCGATTCTTTGTACTTGGAAAAGTCTCCAGCCTTCTTTCCCATTCTGTTTCTGGATCCCAGTATAATTTACATATGGGAACCAAACAGATAAAGAGAAGCCTCACATACAGAATATTTGCTTCTGGGCTGTACCATTATACTCTGCAAACATGAGTGGGTGAAACTGCTTTGGGAGCATAACAGGTATGCAATATCAGTTAGGTCAGCAGGCACATCTACATTTCTTTGGTGCCGTGCATTCCCAAGGCGTAAGCCCGTTTTGTTCATAGGGACAGCAGCAAACAATTCTACCCCTGCTACACTGAGCTGCTTAAAACAGAGGTGGAACTCTGGTAGAGGAATGGACCTGAGAGAGTAGTTTGGCAGAGGCCCCATCATTGACTGCTGGCTGCTGCATAGTTCTGTCAGCTGCTACAGAATAATTTTTTTCTATTCACTTTTTGATAATTTTGTATTGTTTATTCATTCAAGACAAGCAGTATTATTAATCTTTTTTTAAAATAAAAATACCAATTCCAAAATAATAATAATAATAATAACAACCACCTCAGAAGATTTCCCCTTCCCAGGCAATATCCTACCATCCACTCATACCCTTTTATTAATAAATAATCTGAAATGGAGAACAACTGCAACTCCATTTTTGTACTAGGCTGCAACAATAAACTGGACTTTTGTACTAGGCTGCAACAATAAATCTATATTCAACTACAGAATATACAGTATGCATTCATGTTTATTTTTCAAACATAAGCTCTTTGGTAAACACTTTTCAACATTCGCTATCAGCCTGGGTCTTACATGTTCCTGAGGACAGATAGGATATTTTTGGCCACAGGAAGCATCCAGCAATATGCTCACTGCTAGGTAAAGAAGTGCATGACACATGATTCAAATTATGAAATACACAACGTTGTGGGAATGGTAAGATAATGTGCTTTGGGGCCCTTCAAGTACAGATCGGAGGGATTTAAAATGGTCCTTTGTCCTTGAATATAAAGCTCATAAGCAATTAAGACAGGTAGACTCAGTGAGATAGGAAGCCTGTGCACCATGAACAGAGCTCTAACTAGTAAATGATCCTGCCCATGACTAAGGCTCCCCCTAACCCTGCTGTTAGTTCACTTTCCCTAAACATAACACATAGGCTATGTACAATGTTTGTTAGCAATGGCTGCTTACCAAACACATTTATCAGTTCTTGCTCCTTATGCACAGAAAGTTGGGGAAAGTACTGCTTACCTTTGGGCAATGTGGCAAGCCTAGGTCCCAGGCAAAAATCACAGCTAGATAAAAAAAATGGCCTCTCATTTGTAGGCTACTAAAGGACAGATCTTTATTCAGTGGAATCTGCTGAACTGCTCCACAGAGGGAAGCAGCAGCCACAGGCTACCTGATCCTTATTAAAGATATTAATCTCTGTTCCAGTCTTTACAGAATCATCCAAACTGGTTGCAAAATAAAAAGACGTAGCCAAATGTTTCCTAAGCAACAAGCAAACCAAACAGAATATGAGAAATATGATAGCTTATGTGCTTATACTGAATGAGAAGCAAAATAAATTAATACGTAACACAGTCATGTATCAAAGTAGTTCAGAATTTAACACAGTATCCTAATACAGAAATACCAGAACAGACTCATAGGTTCATGTGCACATACAGAAACAAAGTCTCTGTCAAGACTGTACTAAGGAAGTTTGCATTGTACTGTACCAAAAAATGCTACCTAGTGAGCTGCATTAGTTCTTCAAACACTAAGCTCCACACAGATAGGAACAAATACTAGTAACACACAAACATCAATGTTCTTCACTAAGGAAAACAGCTTTTTCATGTTTTGCTGATATCATAACACAAACGGTAGCACTGACATAAGGGAAAAGAATGTTGATTTTAACTGGCAGGGCAGAGAAAACTGACTTGGGACCATGCTATTTAACATCTATAAAGGAATTCCAAGTCAGCTGTGAGCATTGTGGTAGACAGCTTTGCCAAAGACACAATGTTATGCTGGGTGGTAAAAACCCAAGCAATGTGAAAAGCTCTAAAGGGACATTCAAAGCTGGGTATATGGGCAACAAAAGAGCAGATAAGGAAAGTTCCAGGTGCTGTACAATGGGATCAAAATAAGTATCTTGAGAGTTGTGGAGGACAGCTCAACGAACAAGGTCTGAGCCCCCCCCCCAAAAAAGGCGGGCCATTCCTACAGGTAGCCTTTTCTTCTTCTGTACTTCTTCCTATCCTCAATTGGGATAACCCATATATACAAAGTATCTCTATAGGTGACATGAAGAGGTTTGAGGTTATCTTGCACAATAGCTTTGTGCATTTCTGAATGTCTCTTAAGCATTCTCTTGTACAGAAGAAAAGGCAGGCCCAAACTGAGCAATCCATAGCAGCTATAGCTGCAGCAAATAGACACGTTGACTACTTCAATTTATCCCATTCATACATTCTGAAGTTTTTGTCACTAAACCCTATACAGATGTTGCTCCAATGAGCATGTTCTAGCTTTGTAAAAACAAATTCTATCATGGTGTTCAAGAGAAAAAAAGGAATAATGTTAGTCTGTTACAGTGAAAATGACATATGGTATCTGAACGAATGTGTTGTGCCTTAAGAAATGTTTTGCTTGTAGCACCTTAATAAGTAAAATATTTCTTAAGGCACAACACATTCATTCAGATACCACATTTTCACTGTGACAGACTAACCTGGTTCCTTTTTTTCTTTTGAATATGGTGATAAAAGTTGTCTTTAGAATATGCTAGAATACTCTCACTGCAAGCGACAGCTGTGTAGGTTTTAGTGGCAAGAGCTCCAGAATGTCTGAATAACTGGTATAAACTGAAAGAGTCACATTTTAGCTTTAGATAACAGTTTGGATGTTTGCTGGCTTGCTATTATTTTTCAGAAAGGTCCAACACATTAATTAAGACAGTGTTACTAACAGCTGATTATGAAAAAGGAAGGGGTTTCTATTATTTGTGCCTTGGAAACAATCCTGTCTCTCAAATTTGACTGTACTTATCTCCTTACTGGGAATAACCAATGAAAAATGATCATCCTGAAGCAAGAACCACTTCCAGTAACTTTTTTAAAAATAACAAATATTATCTTTATCTCAAAGAGAGATTAACCTCCGCCAGATTTAGCATCTCCCATCATATAGTGATTGAGCAGTTTAGGAAAAACAGATTGATCAGAATGGCAATATGCTGGCTGTGTCCATGCATCCTATTATTTTATATGAACACATTAGCGCCGGGTATCAGTATTTATCAGAACTCTTAAGTACTTTCTAAGTCAGTAACTAAGATATTCTTTCTGTAAATCTCGGTCCTCTAAAACTACGCCTTACCACTCTGAACATGCTAATCTATTCCTTGGCCTTCAACTGTAGCTACAACAGGACACTTCGTATCTCCAAGGTACTTCTGATCTGCTGACTTTGTCAGAAGTAACACCCACAACAATATTTGGCCAGGGAATTTCCTTGCCACCAGCAATACTTGCATATTTCATGGTCCAGTAATGTGTTGGACTAGATCAGTTTTTCCCAACCTTTTTGAGTCATAACCCCCTTCTGTAATAACCAAGCAACCTATGCTCCCTGCCACATTTGCCTAAATATACATTTTTATGGGGTAAAGAAAACACATTAAAATAGATTTTTCAGAATTTTAACCTAATATACAGTGGTGCCTCGCATAATGAGCGCACCGGTTAACGATGAATCCGCATAGCGATCTATTTTTGGGGATCGCTAATGCGATCACATTGCAATGTTCTGAATGGGCAAATATCGCATTGCGATGATTGGTAAGCGTTTCACTTACCGATCTTTGTATTGCCATGTTTTTAGAACAGCTGATTGGTGGTTCCAAAATGGCTGCCGGGTGCCCAAAATGGCCACCACAAGCATTTTCGCGCGCTGCCCTCGCTTACCGAGGCAGCGAAAATGGCGGCGCTATGGAGGATCTTCACTGAACGGTGAGTTTGGGCCCCATAGGAACACATTAAATGAAGTTTAATGCGTTCCTATGGGGTTTTTAGTTCTGTTTAGCGACAATTCCAGATAGCAATGATTAATCCGGAACGGATTAATGTCACTATGCGGGGCACCACTGTATTAATATTCATATAGCAATATATAATTATGAAGAGGACAGTAAATCTGCCTCTACCAGATAAAATTTGTGAAGAAAAAAAAGTCAGTACAGTTTAATTTACTGTTTTGAAAGTGGAAATAACCATCCCTTTATATCTCTTCCCTGCAGAAAAGCTCCATCACTGAAGAGCCCCTCTCCCTGAAGCCCAAATAAACACCTGTTCCCATGAGCTGCACCCCATGCCGCATCTCTCCCCGATTCTCATGAGTCCTTTCTCTCCTTTTGCCTTCCTCATTTATGACTCAGGTGGAGTTTGGAGGTATCTCTCCATGCAGGTTCTTTCTCCCTTCACTGTGCTGCCACCAGTGCACCCAGAAGAG